TTTTACCAAAACTCAAGTTTTTTTAGCTCCATCAATTAGCTAATTAACAAAACAATTATTGAAGCTTTAAACTTAAAGGTGGTGTAGGTAAGTTTGAGAAACCGGCTCGAGATACACTTTTTGTTATATTCCATGGAATGCTCTTAACATCCCGATAGCAATGAATATCTGAAGTGCTTTGACCAAAAATCCATTAAAAAAAACGTCATCTCTGGAAGCCGTAGCGCTATAAAAAGCACGACCAATCATCTGAGCCGGCTAAAGTAACTGGATGGCCTACCTGCCTGTCAGCCTTCCATCTGTGCACAAACTTATCTCGTGCCCTCATTGGTCATGTGCGCGTTCGTGTGTGTTAGAGGAGGGGCTCTGTGAGGAAGTGGCAGATTTGTTCCGGTTGTGTATTTTCAAATTCTAGCGCACTCAAGCTGGTTTCTCCAAAATGACCTCCCCCACCTTTAATATCTTTGGATTTTTTTTGAGACACCACACAATTAATTAATTAGGTCAGGAAATAATCATTTAATCACACACGTAACATGAATAGGTTTCTTTGGATTTTTACCAAGTAAGTATACATTATTCTCTCAGTGTTTGATAACCAGTATGTATATGTGTTACCAGATAAGTGAGCAACCACCATCCTCATCATCACCATCATCAAGACTCAACTGGTTTGAACCACAGCCGGAGGTTTACGCCCGCCACGCCATCTCCACCCTGGGGGTCTCCAACAGGACCACCGGATACTGGCCTCACACTCTGCAGGTCAGGGCGACATAAGTCACGAAGGGTGGAATCTGCTTTGTAATGTTAATGCATTACATAGAAGTATTCTACATAAATGAAGACTAGAGTAAAAATCCAATAAAAATGTGCGCAAAGCATCTGAATTAACTTTGAATATGTTGTAGATATGTTCCTAGAAGTACAATAGATCAATTTAAATAATTCAGAAGTATATATTTTTTTTTTTATAGTTAAATTCTTACATTTTTCTCTATTTAGTGTTTTTCCATTTTCATTTATCAGATGTTTTATCCTCAGAAGTAACTCAGACAGTAACACTGATAATATGATCTGGAACATAAGATATATTTCTGATCCGTTTCTCTCTGCTGTTTCTCTTCACAGTACGGACTGATGAGACGTGTTCCAGACTTCATGTGGGTTCTTGGATCACGTGTGTGGATCAGTTTAAGCTAAAAGCTCTGCTCTCCTCCCTCTGACTTACTCTAACCCACTTACTGGATCTTCTTGTTACAGAGTTTTAAACATCTGCCATTAGTCTAAATTCATTCAACTCTCAGGTTCAGTTAAGGTTGGTAGTTAAAGATAATTTCATTTATTTATTTGATGTCAGTATTTATTTAAGCTGCAGTGGAATTTGCCTAAATTAATGAATCTAGTGTATCAATATATGGTCGGACAAATGTGTGACATCCTTTAGTTACCTATAGAAACTAGACTATAGAACAATTATCATTTGTATATCAAAACCTCCCCCTGTGTTGAACGTTGAATTTGTAAAGCAAATTGTGTGTTTTTCCATGCCTCCATGGTGAACAAAGATTACAAACAAACTAGTAAATGGGGGTTCAACAACTAGCAAAACTATATTAAAAAATCAGTTTACAAAGTCTCAATGACCCGGCTGTATGCTCAGTACTTCCTGAACACATTAATTGTAACTTAAATCTTACTATTTAAAACACTTCTGTATAACAATGATGCTCAGGCTCACTGCTCTATCAGACAAGACTCAAGTGTTCAAAGGCATGGTTCATTACATGTAAGCGAATAACTGAATGTACAATTATTCTATTTGTATTCAGATCAAATGTTACATTAAAAAACACAGCCTTGAAAGCAATACAAAATCAGCCGCCATAAAATAAACAATGTTATTTTTGACACTACATATATCCTGTTATCCGGTTTTATCCATAGGGTTCCTTTTATGATGTTATTGTTTTGTGCTGACTTTCCATTTATCACTGCTTGTATCACTGTTTACTGGTATCTACCACACCCACAGTATATAAGACGTGTTCAAAGACCAAATGGCATTCACTTAAAAACACAACATCATTCCCAGTTAGAGAGACGCACTAATAACGTAAAATAATTATTCTCAATGTGTGCAGAGCTGTATTAAGCAATACCAGTTAATAGAGTTATTTTGATCAATATAATTAAATCTAAATCTCAACGTGATGTACAGTAGAGTGAGATTGTGATGTTTGTTTCATTGAGAAACGATATTTGAGATACATGTGTATATATTGCTTTAAAATTAGTATTTATTTTACTAGGTCAACAGATCTGTAAACAAAGTATGATGTATTTGTGTGGTTGCTTACACATACAATACAGTATATAACTCAAATGTGTCATTATACAATAAATGTCTTTCTCCATTCCCATACTGTCCTGTGTTTTATTTAAATGAAGTGTTTGTCTATATATGAAATGTTGACTGAACTTTATTCCGAAGGCCACACACGCTTTGTTTTTCTCCTAAAATGTCAGGATGGTGTAAATCATTCACGTGAACAGACACTGCCAGAGTTCACCCTGTGATCCCCTTCACATCAGCCAGGTCACTGAGTGTTGGTAACCTTTAGTAAAAGTGAGTGAGGCGCTGGCTTCCTAAATCCACGTTCTGCAAAACCAACCTCGACTGCTTTCAGGGGATTTAAACGCAAAACCATAGTCGATGAATCCATTGTAGGTGTACTTATCTGCAGGTATTGTGTCGGACAACAAAGTGATTATGTTCAGGCTAATTTGATAAATGTCTTCATGAAATAGGTAAAGTTGTAAAGGCATTAGGTTTCCTTCTAAACATTCGTATAGCAAGTTTTCAAACAAATACTGAAGCTTTAAGGAGGTCCTATTATGCTAAGTTTCAGGTTCATAATTGTATTTTAAAGGGCCCATGTCATGCTTTTCCGGTTATCACCCGCCCCCTTGTGTGTTATGAAGGTTTTTCTGCATGTAAACGGTCTGCAGAGTCACAAACCCTCAAAGTACACCCTGTAGCGAGTAAAACTCTAACACAGAGAAGACCTGTCTGTGCTGCCCCAGAACGCCTCGTTGGAGATTTCTCTTTTTCCATTGTTTGCTTCCTGGGTTCTGTGACGTGCCCTAACCCAAATCAACAACAAATGACCGGATTGGCCCAAATGGACCAATCCGCGGAGCACCTCACACACCAGGACCCCTTGGCTAACTAACATAGAGTCCCATTGACTTGCAAAGAGCTCCCTGAATGCTGGTAATAGACGAGTTGGGATGGTGGAGAAATGCTCTCCGCAGACCCATTCTCACAGCGTTATAAACCTTCTTACTCAATATCAAGCCACACTTATTGTTTTTACTTCGGCTGTGAGTGTTTGTGTGCTCAGGATGAGTTTCGCCCGGAAACCTGTCCGCTCCTTGCAGCAGCGGCGAGCAGCAGTGAGCCTCGCAACGTCCCGACCAATCAGAGCACACTGGGCTCACAGAGAGGGGGGCAGGAGCTCCAACAAGCCGTGTAGGACAGAGAGTGAATACACATACTATACAGAGATGCTGTGAGAAACCAATGTGAGTTTGGAACATTGAACAATGTAAATGTATTCTAGTAGAGCTCAACAATGGAATTATGATCAGTAGAAATGGCCATGACATGGGACCTTTAAAGCCCAATGTGACATATATGTATACAACCTTCTGTACAAAATATACTAAAAGTAGATGAGGTAGTTGAGTTACTTCAATTTGTTGTTGAACAATGACAATAACTAATCCATACAATACAACCATCCCCTTCCTTCTGAGCCTGTTCCTTCTCCACTGTCAAATGCAGCAGTATTGTCTCAGATATAAAACCCAGGTGTTCAGCAGCCACTCAGATTCACTGTTAGGACTTTTTTGTTGTGGTTAGGATGGTGTCCTTCCAGATAAGACACAAAAGGAACGATGAAAGAATCTTCTTCTCCTCTTACTCTCTTCGTCGTCGTCCTCCTGAGACATCTTACTCTTCGCTCATCTTTTTCTCTGTGGGTTTGTTCAACTGGTAAGTTTTTATTTGTATTTTATGATGCTTATATGTATTCTCTTTTGAGCTGTAAATGGACTGGAATCTCTTAGAGTTGGTAGGTTAATGGATTTATTGTTTTACAATAATCTACTCTGCATTTGTACCATGCACAATTTGGGAAGAAAGGTAAATATGCTGGTCGCTTGTACTAAGGCGTGAATGCAAGAAACCGTAACAATAGGCTCAAAAGGCAGAGCTACATAGTGGATGTGCAATGGTTTAATTAATAAAGTACAAAATGTAGTTTCTAAATGTCGAAAAGCTAAAAATGGGATTCTTCTTACTAACATTTATTTAACAGCTAATTTACCAAACAGTCCATCATTTCGTCGTGTAAGGATGCTTTAAAAACTATGATTCTGATTAAATAAACAAATGTAAAAAAGAAAATAACTATATAACATAAAACAAATACTTTACTTGTTGATGTTTTCGAAAGCTATGACCTTAAACTATAGCAGCTTTTTTTACTCGTTCTTTATTCGTCATTGGTTGAGCTCACATTCTTTGAAGTGAGATTTGCAACAGTTTGTAATAACCAAGGTTAAGGTCTTGGTTGTTTTGGAGAGGTTAGATCAGCAGCTGTGGCATCTATCAGTAAACTCACAAGCCTTCAGGAAATGATAAAGTGTGGCCTTGTGAGAGAGACTGTGTTCTCTGTGTTAACAACTACAGGGATTCCTGTAAGACTTTTTATAAAACTGCAAAATATAGGTCCAATCAAAGTGTTTAATTCAATTGCTAATGGAAGGAATAAAAAGCAGACATTGAAATATTCTCTTCTTGTCAAACAATAATACTGTATACTCCTCAAATAACGCATGTATACCCTCAGATTGTAGTTGTTTTTAGGTCATGATGGATTGTTTTGTTCTGTTATCTCCTCACACAGAAAGCAGGACAACTGGCGAATGAAATGGGCGAATGGGATCTGCTGGGCCGCCTGCTGGACAAAGTGCAGAGCCACTCCACGGTGATCGGCAAGGTCTGGCTCACCGTGCTGTTCATCTTCCGCATCATGGTCCTGCGCACCGGGGCTGAGAAGGTCTGTATAAATAATAAGCATTTGACACAAAGAAAGGATGTGGAATGTCTTCTAATTCCCAATAAATGTAGGGTAATAGATGCCAATGAACTCTTCAGTTCAGTTTCATGATCACTTTCGAAGTACAGGGCAGTAGATATTGACCCTACTATACTTTAAAGGTCACCTATTATGTAAAATCCACTTCTCCATGTCTCTTCAACATCAACATGTGTCACCTCTTCTTCATGTCTCTTCTACATCAACATGTGTCCCCTCTTCTTCATGTCTCTTCTACATCAACATGTGTCCCCTCTTCTCCATGTCTCTTCTACATCAACATGTGTCCCCTCTTCTTCATGTCTCTTCTACATCAACATGTGTCCCCTCTTCTCCATGTCTCTTCTACATCAACATGTGTCCCCTCTTCTTCATGTCTCTTCTACATCAACATGTGTCCCCTCTTCTTCATGTCTCTTCTACATCAACATGTGTCCCCTCTTCTTCATGTCTCTTCTACATCAACATGTGTCCCCTCTTCTCCATGTCTCTTCTACATCAATATGTGTCCCCTCTTCTTCATGTCTCTTCTACATCAACATGTGTCCCCTCTTCTTCATGTCTCTTCTACATCAACATGTGTCCCCTCTTCTTCATGTCTCTTCTACATCAACATGTGTCCCCTCTGTGTAAAGAGATTCTGATTTTTTTGGCTTGTGTAACCATTAGCCAATCACCAACCAGTAGGCTGCTGGGACTCCCAGCAGCTTCTACTGAAGCCTTCCGAGTAAATCGCCAGAACGCAGACACCTCCTCATCTCCACCGCTCCCATGTTTTATTTTGTGTTGCCATAAGTTAGTCTCTCTTCGTTGGTGCGCGGGGCTAATGCTAATGCTAATAATGCTAAAGCCAGCAAATACAATGGCGGCTTCACAAAACTTTTTGGATTATTACGGGGGGTGGATTGCAATTCGCCCAGCCAATCAGAAATGGGAACCTTTTTATCCCAAGAAAGTACCGGACTAAAAAGGGGTGAAAAGGTTCACAAAAGGGTCGCAAAAAAGTTCTAGTTCCAGATATTTTTGGTGTGAACGCAAAATCCCAGGAACTATCGGAACTATTCCTGGGAAAAGTACTCCGGTGTGAAAGCGCCTATTGTGTTCTTTTTAACCAAATCTCTCAGAGGGGCGTGGGGAGTGGCTCCTTATTTTCATCTAAAGTAACAGACAGAGAATCAGCACTTTTTTGAAACAGGGCTGAAACAGAGGGGATTGTGGGTAATGCTGCAATGATCTGTTTGGTGTTTGGAGCCAAACGCATCATAGACATGTTTTGTATGTATCTGAGACCTATAATATATTGATGAAAAACAGTATACTAGGGGACCTTTAAACTCTTAAAGTTTGCATGATTTATAATCTTTCGTTCTCTATTCTCTTCCTCTAGGTGTGGAGTGATGAGCAGTCCGACTTTGTCTGCAACACCCAGCAGCCCGGCTGTGAGAACGTCTGCTACGACATGGCCTTCCCCATCTCTCATGTTCGCTTTTGGGTCCTGCAGATTATTGCTGTGGCGACTCCCAAGCTGCTATACCTTGGCCACTGCCTCCATGTGATCCACCTGGAGAAGAAGGTGTGTTGCTGCAGTGGGTGTGGTATAAAAGAGTACCAAACAATGGCAGAGACATTAAGATCGGTTCTACCACTGATCCTTTGTTGCCACATTTAGACGGCTGTTTCCAGATAAACTGATCCCTGCAGGCAAAAGGTTGATTAACCCTTAAGTTGTGTTCGGGTCTCCCGTGACCCGTTTCAAGTAAAAATTATATAATAACTACGTTTTTTTTTACGGAACAAGGCTTCATGATATCCTCCACAACAGGTATATAAAAAACAGATGTTGACCATTTTAGCCAAGTCTGAAGGTCTCTAAAAAACAAAGTGTATAATTTGGTGTTGGGGTCTGGGGATACCCAGCAGAATTGTTGGAGGTGACTCAGGGTCAAATTTGGCCCAATCAAGATTCATCTTTGACTTTAGATACCCCTCCCCCTCCCCCTTCATCCACTGTAACAATCATTTAAAACTCTTTGGGGGGAGATTGGATTCTAATATTAGTCTATTATAGTCAGATAAGGTATCCACTGTCTTCACCATAGGAAATATGTGAGTGAATTGAATCACATGTTTTACTTAAATATGTGGTGTAATGTGTTTGGGGCCATAACATTAAATTACAACAGGATTGTACGGTTATGAATGCATAATAAGTTAGTGATGATGTAGTTAAAACAATATTGGATGATAGTGATTATTTTTGAGTGTTTTGGACTGAGATAAATCATGGGTCAAAAGTGACCCGCGAACACCATGAACGGTAACAGCTTTTGAACACAACACAAGGGTTAAAGCAGCTTTAATGTGAAACTTACAATTACATTCTAATGTACAAGTATAGCACCATATCACACAAAAGCAGTCCAGAGAGCTTTACATAATTAAAGAAAAGTGCGTACGTACATACATAGACATACTAAACTCAAATCTATTTTTAAGCACCTAAAACTCACTTCTTGGTTTTAAAGCTAGTTTTGTTGTTGGCAGAGGTATTCATGACAGAATTTTGTATCAACACTTTAACATTATCTGAAACTACTCCTGCAGAACGCTCAACTTATCTGCTAACCACGGATATGCTGATCTTTTATATTATGCTCATATCTTTTCCCAAAACTTTGATAAAAACACAACTGCCTCCAAGTTAGGAGGTAAAAAGCAGAACATGCAACAAGTGTTTTGAAATATTTGGCAAAACTGAAAGCTAATCTCATACATTTCCTGGACTCCTAAGGTGTGAAGCATGTTTCATCGGCTTTTATTGTCATTTGTAAATAGCTACAGCGTAGATATGTCAATGAAAATCTTAGGTCACAGGCTCCTCCAATGGTGCAACATAATAAAACAGACAAAATAGTTGCAATTAATACAAATAAAATAGAATACAAATAGTGCAAGGTTCACCTTATTACTTCCAATTAATCTGCAGTGCCTCATATGGAGGGTTACCAAAACCAAACCTAAATCTGATTCTTCCAAATCCAAGGTGAAGGAGAGGATGAAGAAGCAGGCGGAGTTGGATGACCAGACCAGCCTCTTCCTCAGGAGAACCTACAAAATCCCCAAGTACACGAAAAGCACCGGGAAGATCAGCATCCGCGGACGACTCCTTCGCAGTTACGTCCTCCATCTTGTGGCCAAGATCATCCTGGAGGTCTTGTTCATTCTGGGTCAGTACTTTCTCTACGGCTTCACCCTGGCGCCTCGCTACGAATGCGAGCGCTCGCCCTGCCCCCACAAAGTGGACTGTTTCCTGTCCAGACCCACGGAGAAGTCGGTCATCATCTGGTTCATGCTGGTCTCTGCGCTCGTGTCCCTGGCCCTCAGCCTGGTGGAGCTCTTCTACCTGTTTGTGAAAGCCGTGAAGGAGTGCATGGCGAGGAGGCAGGACTACACCGTGACCCCCGTGACGCCCCCGCCTTCCGAGAGGAAAGCTTTTAAAACCCGTGACGAGATGATACAAAATTGCGTCAACCTGGAACTGGAGCTACAAGGGCGAAAGTTAGGGGTCAACGGGGTCAATGGGAGGAGTAAGATAATACTGCCTGAGAGCAACAGTTTGGGAAGGGAGGTGCACATCTGAAACATGGGGCAGGTTGAACATGTCCAATTCAAAACACATCATATCAAATCAAGATTTATTGTATCCCCAAATCACAAGAAATGCCTCAAAGGGCTGTTCAAAGCAGACAAAAGCAAAATACAAACGTCATAGCATACAAATTATAAAAACATTACAACATAAGTATTGCCATGTGATAAAAGCATGTGACTAAAGTGATGGTGATGGAGATGGAAACTACATGAAGGTGATGGAAATTAGTTGACAAGGAAGACAGATGCGAAGAGATGGGTTTTTCAGTTTGCTTTCAAAGGAGTCAACGGAAATCGCTTCGCGGATCTGAAATGGAAGACGATTCCAAAGGAGAGGAGCTCGGAACGAAAAAGCTCTGCCACCTACGGATGATTTGGGAATTCTGGGGATGGAAAGGAGAATGAGTTCCAGTGTGTGTGTGCTTTGGCTTTAGAGAGGTGTGTGTGTGTGTGTGTGTGTGTGTGTGTGTGTGTGTGTGTGTGTGTGTGGTGTGTGTGTGTGTGTGTGTGTGTGTGTGTGTGTGTGTGTGTGTGTGTGTGTGTGTGTGTGTGTGTGTGTGTGTGTGTGTGTGTGTGTGTGTGTGTGTGTGTGTGTGTGCGTGCGTGCGTGCGTGTTTGTGTGTGTCTGTCTGTATGTCTGTGCGAGTGTGTGTGTGTGTGTGTGTGTGTGTGGGTGCGTGTGTGTGCGTGCGTGTGTGTGTTTGTGTGTGTCTGTTTGTCTGTATGTCTGTGCGAGTGTGTGTGTGTGTGTGTGTGTGTGTGTGTGTGTGTGTGTGTGTGTGTGGGTGGGTGCGTGTGTGTGTGTGTGTGTGTGTGTGCGTGCGTGTGTGTGTTTGTGTGTGTCTGTCTGTATGTCTGTGCGAGTGTGTGTGTGTGTGTGTGCGTCCCTGCGCGCGCGTGTGTGTGTGTGCATGTGTGAGTGTGTGTCTGCAGCAAATAAAGAGAGAAGGAGGGGGAGTAGCCAGCTTCTGTAAACAGGACTCAGTCACAGGCAACATTTCACTTTTCGGGCATAATACAAAAATAATAAACCGCAGATCCATCTCTTTAAAAAATAGCATCAGAAGTTTTGCTGATAGGTTTTAAGAAGGATGCTTTCTTGTAATAGTTTTTAGACAATGATGGTGTGTCATTTTGTTTTCAATAAACCTCCAATATTTGCTAATATGTGTCTGAATGTTACTATTCATATTACAAACACTAACTAGTTGATGAATGATTTTATATGCAGTTAACACTTTGTTAACCGAGTATAGCTTATTATATTTGCCTATGTTCAAAATATTTGCATTCCTAAAATAATTTCTTCCTCAAGTATCGGGTAAATATTAACAAAAAGGGCAAATAGAAAATACCTGTTATTGCTATTATTTTGAGAAAGAAATGTTTAGAAATAGCCATTTTGGGTGGAAACAAGTTCAACGCTCTGTCCAAACGTAACAAATACACATTCTTATTCAACGCCGTACAAAACACAAAGGGTACAAATATCAAGACTTAGTTTAAAGGGACTTATTTGATGTGCGCTAAACTTATATTGGCAAGGTGTGACTTAGAGTCTGCTTTATATGGATGTTTCTGATAAGCTAGGCTATTTAGCTTAATATTTAGTTATTTTATCTCATGTGCTTTATCGCTATTACTCTTACTTTTAGATAGATAGATAGATAGATAGATAGGTAGGTAGGTAGGTAGGTAGGTAGGTAGGTAGGTAGGTAGGTAGGTAGGTAGGTAGGTAGGTAGGTAGGTAGGTAGGTAGGTAGGTAGGTAGGTAGGTAGGTAGGTGGACGGACGGACGGACGGACGGACGGACGGACGGACGGACGGACGGATAGAGATAGATAGATAGATAGATAGATAGATAGATAGATAGATAGATAGATAGATCGATAGATAGATAGATAGATAGATAGATAGATAGATAGATAGATAGATAGATAGATAGATAGATAGATAGATAGATAGGTACTTTATTGATCTATTGATTTTAATCAAGTGAGAGTAACAAGATATGGTATCATATCATAAAAATGTAAATGTTTCAAACCTCAAGAAGATTGTTTTTCCACACACTTTCTTAAAAGGGCTTTTTCAAAATGAACTAAGGGGTGAATGATACTGTAGAAAATGCATCTGTTTGAAGGGGCACTTTGTGTTTACTATTAGACTGTTTATTTATGACAGTTATTTGCTTGTGTCTGTATTAATTGGCACTAGATGGTAGAACTGCATTATTTACAACTATACACTTATTTAACATGCAGTCAAATATGCAGAATATTCAAATATGAGCAGCAGTGGTTTTTATCCTTTGTGATAACCAAGTTGTTTATTTCCAAACATCCAAGGCCATTTAGCTGAGATACTGAGCTCCTGTCAATTATTACACTCACCGTCTTCCAACAACTTTTTTTGCCCTCGTTGGCTGACGGGAACAATGTGACATTTCTCGCCAGATGTGTGTTGTGCAACAATCTGCATCAGTCCTCACCCAGCTAAAAACTCCAAGGTCCAACTCTAAAGTTAACCATCTGTCCCAAACGCAGACAGTCCTCTCCGACGGGTCGCCAGGTAAGATGCAACCATTGTTCTCTGCTTCAGATTTTACGCATGTTGAAAGAATATCTGAATATTTGTCAAGGGTACAATCCAGGCTGGGAATGTAGAGTACCGTTGTTTATTTTCATACAAATAATAATAACTGTAAGAAAGTTTTAATTGTACTTTTGGCTTTTCTTTACCAGTATTCGTATGACTTATGAAATATTACCATATGTCTTGAGTTGCCTTCAAGACGTATGTTTAATATGTTCATTCTATATAATTAGAATTAGAATATAGTTGTTTCTAATGTTAAATGAACACAGAAAAAGTCCTTTTATTTTATTAGTGTTGTCTTGTTTAATTGTATTTACGCCTTATTGGTTTGAAGCCACTGCTCTGCTGTTTTTTCCGTTCAAAATTCTGACTATTATTTTAGGAGAGTATATTGACCAGCTACCTCATGACTCGAGGAGCTCTGATTTCCTCTTTTGCCTCAAGTTGGCGGTTCAAGAACTTATTTATTTTAACCGAATTTAAAAAAGAGACTTTACGTCTTTCTTCCAGCAGCATGATTGAAGTTAATATTTCAGGTAACAAGGTGTGGCGTAGGATCATTGCAAACATAATGTGGTATCAGCTCATGAGTATTTTCTTTGCTCTTTGTATCACAGATTAGTAACTGATCATCACAAAATAAAGATGGGAGACTGGGGATTCCTGTCGACTTTGCTGGACAAGGTCCAGTCCCACTCCACGGTCATCGGGAAGATCTGGATGAGCGTCCTCTTCCTGTTCAGGATCATGGTCCTGGGAGCGGGCGCTGAGAACGTTTGGGGGGACGAGCAATCGGGCTTCCTCTGCAACACTCAGCAACCTGGTTGTGAGAACGTCTGCTACGACTGGATCTTCCCCATCTCGCACATTCGCTTCTGGGTCATGCAGATCATCTTCGTCTCAACGCCAACGCTGGTCTACTTGGGCCACGCCGTGCACGTCATCCACCAGGAGAATAAAATGAGGGAGCGCATGTTGAGCCCTGGGGGGTCCCGACTGAACAAAATGCCCAAATACACGGACGAAAAGGGGAAGGTGACGATCAAGGGGAATCTTCTGGGGAGCTACCTCACGCAACTAATCGTCAAGATCATCATCGAGAGCGCCTTCATTATTGGCCAGTACTACCTGTACGGCTTCATCATGGTGCCCATGTTCCCCTGCTCCAAGAAGCCCTGCCCCTTCACCGTGGAGTGCTACATGTCCCGCCCCACGGAGAAGACCATCTTCATTATCTTCATGCTGGTGGTGGCCTGCGTCTCCCTGCTGCTCAACTTCATCGAGGTGTTCTACCTGCTCTGCACCAGGGTCAGGTGCGGCTCCCGGCGTCACACTCACAAGATCACCTCAGCGGAAAACCCTGCCAGCCTGTCGGGCACAAAAAGGCAGACCATAGAAGACGCACTGATGCAGAACAAGATGAACATCGAGATGGAGAACAGCCAGAGCATGGGGGGAAGTATGGATGGAGCCAAAGAGGAGAAACGGCTGCTGAGTGGACATTAAAAAACATTATGATGCATTAAATGCTTGTTTTAGGTTTCTGGTTCCTTTTTCAGATACATCTAAAAGACTCAAGTACAATAGGGTGTACATATCATAACACAACAACAACAACAACAACAACAACAACAACAACAACAACAACAAGGAAAAGCACGTTTAATGTGTAGTTAAGAAATGTTCTTGCTGAGTCTGCATAAATCCATGTTTTGTAGGGGCACTTTGTTAGAATGTTACATGTATTTTTTATTATTTAACAGGAAATCTAATGATGGAAAATGTGCAATTTTGATGATGTCTTTATGCTCTTAGATACCCACTTGTTAATCTGTTAGTGAGCAGAGTTTTGTCCTTGCCTAGTTTTGTCCTGTAAGTTATTGCCATGTATCCAAAACGATTAATTTGCTCACTGATAAACAATGATTATGATGTCGATGATTGTGGTGAAAAAGTGTTTCCACTGAAACATGTTTATGTGCTATGTTGTTTTTAATAAATTATTGAGGTTGGATTGAAGAAAAACTGTTTCATGACTGAATAAATGATATGATTTTTCAAACACCTTTCTTTAAAAGATGATTGACACTTTTTAGTAACACTTTTAAGCTGGAAATAATGGGGTTTTTTCATTACCGATGAGTAAAAGATATTTTTTTATTAATTGAGTACATTTTTAAAACCGTAAAAAGTCAGAAGATTATAAAAAATGTCATCCATCCCCCACTGAGCGTGATACCTCTGGGTTCTGCTCAGTATTAATCCTGATCCAGATCACCGCTTCCCAGAGCCCATGGTTCAAATCATAAAGAGATATTCATTTAAATATATTGTTAAAGAAAAACTAACTTTTGAGAAGCTGAAACCAGTTTTGTCCTTATTAAAAACAACATTAATGATTAATCGATAAGCAACATTTGAGAAAACCGTTAATCATTGCCGCTTTATGAGTGTTTTTTTGCTTCAGAATAGGGTGCGTTCAACAGATTGATAAGTCAACCTCTGATTCAGAGAGAGGGTTTAATAAGTTAATGTGAGGATAAGGGCATTTACATAAGATGAACTGTGCGTCACACACACACCTGCATTTTGCAATTCAATACAACATCTCTGCAAAGACCCTAACCCCTAACCATAACCCAAACATACTTTGGGGAGATTACAAGATACATTTGCTCCATTTGTTGAGAATTTCTGAAAATTAAAATACTTCCTCTTGATGCAATCTCAACCATGTGACAATCCTCACGTAGTATTTATTCAGGGTTAAACTGGATTTCATAACTGTGTACACAAGTTCATTGTCATTGTGTCCTTGTCCTTAAATCCCTGAGATTGTATCTGAAACAAAATGCAGAAAAGGCATTTCTTTCATAGGCGTTTTTCAAACAGCATCATTATCAGAATGTGACCCTGATAATGGTAAACAATAACCTGGAAAAGCAGTAAAAAAATCCTGAGAACATTATTTGTTTTATTGCGGTGCCAATCAATCATTAACCTTTACAATCTTGTTAGTTTTCTGGCCAAAATGGTCCACTTTAAATCTATCATCTCCAGATGTCACGACAACGTGTCAGCGCTCACTGTTGCGCAGTATCATCGAACCTAAAGTTCAAGGTACCACATACACAGCTTTGCTTGGTTCACTGGGCTCTCCGTCAGACTTCTCCACAGCTGGTGAGCACTGTTTGTCCGCAGAGGCCTTTAAACTCAAAGGTAAGCTGGTACCATTCTTTTTTCCAACACAAAATACAAGATTGAATTAGTTCAAAAGTACATTTAGTGATGTTACTTTTGAATTAAACCAATCTACCAAAATGTTATATTATGATGGGTATGAGTTTGTTTTTGACATTGGCAGTGTTGAAAGCATGTTAGCAAAAGTGGGTGTGTGAGTACGGAGGAACTCATTAAACAATATATAATAATAACGAATTATTAATAATAAAATTCACTATTTTCTACATATTTCTAAATTGTTCTCACGATTCTGAATTTTTTGGAAACAAAATTAAATGTTTGTCCTTTGACGAATAGAGCCATGTTGTGTAATGAGGATACGTGTGCTTTTATTCTTGTGAACAATATCTATATATCTATCACAAAAACATCTGTGGAAGATAAATTCCTCTCCTATCAGGACATCTGACCTCCTATAGTAAGACAACTTGAGATAAGTTGTTGTTATGCAATGGATGTTATCGATCCTTCTTTACCATGCGAACATACTATACTATAGATTAGGAGTTTTTACAACACGGGTTTATGTCTTTGAGCAAAAAAGGACCTTGTGCTGTTGTTGATGTTTAACCTTCAAGTTAAATAATAATCAGAAAAAACTGCACCACGCCCAATGTGTTGAAAAAATATCAAAATGCTTCATCCTATACCTTCGTGGTGTGAAATGCAGAATGAAATTGAATAAAAAGGAACATAACTTTCACAAATGATGCATCTGTTCTCCAAAATATGATACTAGATTAATACCATGTACAATCTGTTTCACCTGACCATGATGTGCCAAATGATTTGGAAACCATTGAGCTAAATAAAATGCCATTAATTTAAAAATAATACGTGTATCACCCTGTGGTTGAAATACACTTCAACATGTAGCGTGTTTTTTCTTAACACATCCAAGTTTCATGAAAGTCAAGCCACTAGTTGTTTGTAAAAATGCTACCAGATGACCAAATCTAACAAAAAAAATGTTTTAGTCTTGAGTTTCCATCGACCTCTATCTCCGGTTCACTGAATAGATGCTTTGTAAGACTATTTAAAGTTGTAGGGTCTGCATGTAATAAGTAAACGCTGATATTACTGTGTAGGCTATATTTATATGGGTTAGGGTTAGGTTTTGGTTAGGGATAGGGTTTTGGATTCTCGGTTGAGAGTGGGTGCACGGGCCTGAGGATCTGTGGATGGGTGTATGCAAGTGTTATTCGACATAGGGTCAAATATGAGGTTTTAAGGTGCTTGGACCAATTCTGGAAAATGTGAATGTTGAGAGGGGATCATGGGGGTCTGATTTTCCAAAAAATCAGCTGAAATCAAGGACTCTGGTTCCCAATATGATGCATTGCTGGAGCCAGAACCAGGCTCCAGGGGTGAGCTGGTCCTGGTAGGGGGAAGCAAGGGGGGAACCAGGGGATAGCTCGTGTGTTTGTGACTAAAAGGCTGAGGAATGGTCGGCTACAAGGGGTTTGTTGTGCTTGTGACTGATTGTGGGCTGTGGGGTCTGCATGTAATAAGTAAACGCTGATATTACTGTGTAGGCTATATTTATATGGGTTAGGGTTAGGGTTAGGGTTAGGGTTAGGGTTAGGGTTAGGGTTAGGGTTAGGGTTAGGGTTAGGGTTAGGGTTAGGGTTAGGGTTAGGGTTACGTTTCTCCTCTGTCTTTATCTGATAGAGTCTTCCGTTGTTAGATGCCTGCAATATCATAATTCATTCTTCTGTTTGCTCTCCTCACCAGATCAGAGACCATGGGAGAGTGGGGATTTCTGTCCTCTCTGCTGAATAAGGTCCAGTCCCACTCCACCGTCATCGGGAAGGTCTGGCTCACGGTGCTGTTCATCTTCAGGATCATGATCCTCGGAGCCGGAGCAGAGAAGGTCTCCTTTTGTTCATCAGTACTTTACTTTGAGACGTGTTTAACCCAACCGATGAATTACTTTTAGGCTTTACGGTGAAATAACACTCTCTGCTGGCCGTATTAAGGTCCACAGTATCAATTTAACTTATTTACAATCCTTGTCAGGTTTTATAACAATACCAGGACTTGATGTAGCCTGTAGACTGTTCCATGTTCATTGGATGAGATTTAATTCCAATTATTGATGAATTGTGTTATTTTCTAGGCATTATAAGCACTTTTTTAAATCTTAAATGACAATGTTATACTAAAATGTTAGGTGCAATCATCTATCATCAATATATTTGTAAATGAACGGTGGTGTATATAGCTTCTGTAACTCAATCCCTTTTCTCCTTAATTGTTACTTTTTCATTGTTTTACCTTGTTTTTTGTTTTACCTTATTTACTGCCTGTGTTTTAACATGTTCTGTTTTTTTGTTTTATTTGTTTTGTTTTAATGTTCTGTATTTTAAATTGTTTTATTTAAGTATCCCAGTAATGTCTGTTGCATGTTTTAAATGTATTGTATTTACTTGTTTAAAATGAAATGTGTTTTAGGTTGACTTTTAAAATCTGTCCGGGGACTACAGATGAAAAATAGCCTCTTGGCTAACTCTGGCACATTTACAGAAATGTTCATTAATGTTAAATAAATGAATAAATACAAATAAAAATCTGAAGTTTCCAGTGGAAGTCCATAATGATGCAAATAGAGGATGATGGGAAATATGTGCAATGAATATATAAAAAGCCTTCACATAAAAGCAAAAGTACCATAGCACTCAGAGGACTGCATACTGCTGGATGTAGGTGGGTGGGAGGCGTGGATTTAAAAAGAAAATGCATCAAAAGTAACCTCAAGAGTGGCTGTCTGCTAGAAAGAAAGGATAAAGTGTCCTGTAAGGAGGACTCAAAAAAGAAAACATGATACGGTGCCATAAAGGAAAACCTTTTGTGTGCTTTTGCCCCAAAAAGCATGCCTTTTTTATTTTGTATCGCTACTGAGACATCCTGACTCCTCCTCTGTTGATAATAATATAAATGTATCTTCTGAATATTACAGGTGTGGGGTGACGAACAGTCCCAAATGATATGCAACACCAAACAGCCTGGCTGTAAGAACGTCTGCTACGACCACGCCTTCCCCATCTCACACATCAGATTCTGGGTCCTCCAGATCATCTTCATCTCATCACCGACGCTCATCTACCTCGGACACGTCCTGCACGTCATCCACGAAGAAAACAAGCTGAGAGAACATAGGAGCGACATCGTCAAAGTTCCCAAGTACTCTGACGACAGCGGCCATGTCCAGATTAAAGGCGACCTGCTGGGGAACTACATGACCTCCATCATTTTTAGAATCCTTTTGGAGGTAGGGTTCATTGTTGGGCAGTATTATCTGTACGGGTTCATCATGGACCCGAGAATAGTCTGCTCCCGAGCCCCCTGCCCCTTCACCGTGGAGTGTTACATGTCTCGCCCCACAGAGAAGACCATCTTCATCATCTTCATGCTCGTAGTGTCCTGCATCTCTGTCCTGCTCAACGTAACGGAGATCTTCTACCTGGCCTGTTTACGCTCAGCCAGACGAAAGTCTAAAAAAACAGTCGCGTCTACGGCCATCACTCTTCACCCGCTTCTAAATGGAGGCATTCTGACCAAGAGTGACAAGATGAGCCTCCATGATGCCTGAATATATAATGCCATTTAAATAGTGTAAAAAAATGTACACAGTTGCATAATTACTGAGAAATGTTTTGACTGAAATGAGTCCAGTTATTATTTATGTGATGCTTAAGAATTTCAGACACAAATTTGAACTTTTTTATGAATAAACAATTATTCTAATGTGCACAAGAATAACAGGACTACAATAAACTGTACCCCTGAGGCAACCTTTGAAAAGTTTACAGAAAGTGAGTATTTTGTTCCTTGCTGTTTTTTGTACTTGACAAATCTCCGCAAATTTGGTTTAGCTTTAGCTGTTGTTGCTCAGAAACGGTTTTCAGGGCTGTTTTTGCCATCTTACTTTTAAGTTTCTTCAATAACGTTAAAATTGCAGGCCCAACTTGTAATATTTTAGTAACAAATCAATCTTGTTTTCCCTGTTTTGTATTTGAATATGATTGTATGTGCCTTGTGTTTGAGTATATTGTAAAAAGGAGTCAAACAATGTTTATTAAAATATTCTTTTGTCAAAAACTGTATCTGAGTCAATGATCACTGTTTTCATACATGTGCACAAATCCTAATTTATTTTTCGGAAAACTGAAATATTTGAAATGGAAAACAAACAAAAACAACAACAAAATCTTGAAAACCACTTTTAATAAAACAATTGCGAAATAAAGACAATATAGTCAGATGTAATATAAACTAATTTATTTTTCGCCAGATGGCCAGGACACCAAGTAATGGAAAATGTGGCTTAAACACTGCTGGATGTGTAAATATTCCCTGTCAATTTCAAAGGTGATGACATGTCAATGTTGTGTACACACCTTGTGTTGGCTGCCCCCCAGTGGCAAAACAAATCAATACTTGGATGAAAACTCCATTCACATGTCTCTCTTGTAGTGTTTTGGCTTTTATGCAACACTCACCTAGTGTCAAAAAGAAATAGATTCAGTTGTTATAGGAATTTTTATATACACTGTAGATCTGCCAAATAATGCATCCACAAATTATGTAAAGTTATTCCAAAAACATTTATGAATCAAAAGCGCTTATGAGGGTATATATTTGGCCGTTTTTGTCTTAAAACAAACAAACAAAAACAGAATAACATACGACCAAAATAAACCAAAATAAAAACATCTTCTAACATCTTTAAGTCGTCAATAATGTTAGATATACTCTTTTTAAATATGATTTCGCATTGAAGATGTGTTGCTTTTATATTTACACTGCATTGTATGTTCTCTTCTGTAAACAAACCTCAAAAATATTCTCATATTTGAGCTCAAATTTCTTGGTCCACTTTGTTTTTTGGAATACATTTAACAAATTATGCTTTTAAATAGTGGTGGGGACACAATTGGACCATTCTGAAAGTTGTCCGGACATGTACCCACTTTAAAGGACAACTATGCCATTAATGAACCCCATAAATAAGATTATATAGATCGATTTTTAATGTGTTTTGTCCGTTTTGCCACTATCTGCGCACACGCTCTTGCTGGGAAAGACCACTAGATGGCGCCATTTAAAACATCTGGTCCATCTGTGTGACGTAAACCTTACGTAAACCTTACGTAAACCGACGACCCGCCCACGCAGCGAGCTACGCAAACCATGGACATAAACCAGCGTCCTCTTCCTTCTTCTAACAAAAAAAAAATAACAACAGCTGGAAGCAGCTAAAGATGGCCGCCATGATAGCCTCCGCCAACACGGCGGGGCTCAGCTCCCACGGGATGGAGGAGAAGAAGTTTGAATACTTTTCCTCCATCAACTCCATGGCGAGGAAGATAATGCAGGAGAGGAAGACTATCGAAGAGAAACACGGCCCAACATGGGAGAAAATGACGCATCAGGAGCAGGACAGCGCCATCGATAACGAGATGATGGATCCTCAGATCCGAGCCCGATACGCCATGCACAGAGTAGACCGTGAAGAAGTGCTCTGTTACCCCAAACTTCTCATTCAGACGGGCCAGAAGATTGTTCACTTCGGAGAGGAGGTGATTTAATAACATTTGTATTGATGTTTGATGTGTTTTTACAGGTCACAATAGCCAGTGTTGTCATGGTTGCTAACTAGCCACGTAGCCGTTGAAATATGCAGGTTAACGTCATAGTGGCTAATGACGTAACGGGTAACATAGCTACCAAATGATTGTAATCGCAACTTTAAGAAGGGATAACGTTATAAAATGAGGCATAAAAGTGGAACAATACTCAATGTTAGGTAGAAATACACTACCCTCACATAATAAGTTGTCGAAAACAGATTCGCCAGGAAAATATGTGTCTCTGGTTAAGTCTAACGACATAAATAATGTATGCAAGTCGTTGTTCTAAATATAGAATGAGACATTATTATATAATGAAGGAAAGCAGTGTGTGTTGGCAATATAACTATCCTGTTGTTAGTTGTCAACAGCCCTGTTCAACCAACACATTCACTGCCAATTTCACATTATAATTGTTCAGTTTTAAAGCTGCAATGTGTACAAGTAATAATAACAATTGTTGTTCATGTGTTTGTTTACAGAAAAACTGGACTTGTATATATAAGTTATTGTGTTGTTAGTGGGGTTTTTTTATTGTTTAACATCCTTGTGTACCTAATAGTCCTGTCTATTATTTCTTTATTTGCCCAGCTTTGTTCCTGGCTGTCATGTCTATATTATTTAAGTAAATTGAGAGCAATGCAACAAAACAAATAATTCCTTGTACGTTCACACATATTAGGTTAATAAAGATGATTCTGATTTTGTGTTTCTTAGGATATGACCTGGCAAGATGAGCATTCTGCCCCTTTCTCGTGGGAAACAAAGGTAAGCATATTTAGTTAAAGTTTGAGTCTGTGGCTTGTTGAAGAAATGTGGCTCAATATTAACCCTGCAACTTAATATGGTCTTTATTGATTTAATCGTGTAGTTTAAGTTCCTTCGAATCGTGTCCAATGTATCCTCTTCCAATATGTTTTGTCTGACCAATAATAACAAGAACACTCTAATATTAGGTTTACAATTACACAAATCTGTAAATGATTAAATACTTTTAGATATAGACACTATTTTACATTGTAGTTTGATAGTTTACTTAAATGTTCGCCCATCATAATGTCCAGCTATTAACTCGTTATTTCAAGACTTAAGGTTTGTAATAACGAGTTGATCTCTGCTGTGCATTATCTAAATATATGTCCTTTTTACTGTCTAAAATGTGCATGTAGTGTTGCGCTCAAGTCCTGAGATATTGTTGCTTCCATCTTTCAGAGCCAGTTGGACTTCAGCTTGACGTCTGGCCCGGCAGAACAGGGAGTCTCAGTCTCTCAGGCCGAATCAAAGCCTGCGAAGGTTCCTCATTCCAACCAGATCAGCAAGAGTACTCCAGGAACTAAGGTATGTTGAGAGGAGTGTACTGTAGCTGGTTGGACAAAAAACACTTCATTCATCAAAAGTAGTAGTAGTTTAAGACTTGACTTTCAAATGCGTCGCATCCAAATCTCACAGGTAGATTATTGTTAAAAATCAAGAGTTGGTCTGATTTGTCAAAAGCATCTTTCACACTTTGGAAGGGACAGAATCCTTGGCCAGGACTCTCTTGAAAAAGAGATGTTTAATCTCAATGAGACCTATCCTGGTTCAATAAAGGTCAAATACAAATACAATTGATCAAACTGAGGAGGTATGGTTGGTGTTATGAAGTAGATCTCAACATCCCTCTTTACACACAAAGTAAAAAAACAGCTTAGTTATTAAGGTGTTCCAATGGTTTACTCATAACAAAAATATTTGTTTACACGGAGACGAAACGAGTTGTATCCGCTACAGTTCTCTATCGTATGGACGGTTCGTCCGCACGAGGCCGTAACAGAACCGCGGAAACGGAGCCCTCAAACGATAACGGCTCCCAAGGTGGGTAGATCTGCGGATGAAACGCTCTGGGGGGCCAAACGGCTCCGTGTGTACGCCCTATACGATCATTTCCTGATAACGATGACGCCATAGCCCCGCCTCTCCCCACCTCTCCTGCTCACCCCCGCGTCACCCCCGTCATTGCTGATGTGTTTCGCCAACAACAACAATGGCGGATCACAGGGTTGCTTTCGTGCTCCAGACGCTACTGACCATGATACAGATGTTAGTGCAAACATCCACAGCTTTGGTGTATTTTGTAGCGGAAGTACAGCGCCACTCACAGGCCCGGCATATGTACTACAGCGTCTCCAGCGGGTCGAGCGGTCTCGTGTGGGCGGACACGTTCATTGAGCCGATTCCGTGTGGACAAAATACTTTTTTGATATCGACTAAGGTTCGTTTTCGTCTCCGTGTGAACGGGGCCTAAGTTTCAAAGCGTTTTTGTCACAAACAAACACTCCTCTTGCCTCTTGATAAACCTTCACCTTGAATTAAATCACGACAATGATGCCAACAGTTTTACTGGAGAGAGCAAAGCATTGTATGATTGAATAAATACAGATGCTAAACTCTGGAATGTTTGACTCACACCTGTTATTATTATTGTGTGATCGTGAAGGTGACTGTCAGCGAGGCCCGGAGGCCAGAGGAGGAGTCGTCTTTCTGGAAGATCAGCGCCGAGAGGTCCAGGCTGGAGGGAGAGATGGCCGACTTCCAGTCTCTGACCCCCAGCCAGATCAAGTCCCTGGAGAAAGGAGAGAAATCCCTGCCCTCGTACCTCCGACTGGTGAGCACTGATATATATATAACTGTTTCTCACTCTCTGATGGCGTTTTCAATTCAATCAACAGCTTTTACATTTGGCACAAGTACAGCATTTTCTGGTCTGCATAGCTCCAAACAAACAACAGATTAAAAGCGAGTCCCACCCAAACTCTTGCCTTATCGAGCTGTGTGTTCTGAGAACTCTGGCATCTGTGCAGCCTCCACAAGTGTCGGAGAAACAGATCTGTAGATTGTTTCCGAAGGGTCTATTTGTTTGTGCATTGTAGTCCCTCATCAACCACCTATATGCTGTAGCTCATACAAGTAGCTAATGTTTTTCTTACCTGCAGTGCTATTTGTAAATCTAGATTGTTATGGTGTGAGTGTTGGAGGTATCATGGCAAACTAATTTTTTAATGATGTTAACAGCAAAGCAGGGATTTTTTTGGTCGCCGAAAACAGCATTTTCTGCTACTTTTGCACGATGTGAATTCCTTTATCAATCATTTCATTGTTAACCCAAATACATTGTGGTTTGAACTGTCCCTTTTTTAAATGAGATGTCGACCAAGACGGACCCCTTTTTTGTGGCCATCAGTTTCAGGACAATAAAAAGACATCAACCTTTTTTTTTGTGCCTTTCTATCTCGAGGTATCTTAACATATGTGTCGTGGCTTCCTTCCTAGTTGTTCTATCAAGCCACTAGACGCCTTAAACAGACATTTTTTACTCGTTTTATTTCCTTTTATATTACTTACAGTTGAAGAGTTGCTTGGCCTCCGATGGTTTGGATGATGTTATACGATGTGTTTGCTCAAAATCAAATGACAAACTTTTACACATGCAACAAAGAAAAGAGGCCTTTTACAATAGGCAAAACAAATAGGCAAAACTCAAATAAAATAACAACGTAGGTATTCTTTCTGTCTTGATACGGCTTATATAACTTAAAGGGTAATTGGATGGTTAAAAACGGTTCCTCTTTCTAGCAGGTTGCCCGTCACTGTCACTTTAGAGCCGTGGGAATTGTAGTCTTTTATAGTGTGTTGACTACAGACGTCACAATGAGGTGGCCTTTCTTATAACACAAAATGCTGGCTCTAACAATATGTATAAAATATGAAATCACAGTAAAAATATCAACCGTAAATATGATGCTTTTTCCCCAGGAGACCTCTGTGAACACCAAGGAGCCTGAGGTAGTGGAGCCCCCCCCTCCCGCTCATACCAGGTCCACAAAGCACCGAGCCCCCAAACCTCCGGCCCCTCAGCCCCCTGTTCCTCTTCATCTTCCTCTTCCTCTTCCTGTGGCTGTCAGCGCTACTCCGGCCTCCATCTCCATCTCTCCCAACCCTCCTCCACCTGTCAGGGTGTCGTCGTCCGTGGCCGGGTGGGAGCGCTCTCAGAGCACTCTGCCCTCCGTCGGGACCACCGTGGACGAGGTGTTCTCCTCCGGGATGATGGCCAAACCCTCCAAGCCCTCCAACCCCCCCGGCAGTGTGAGAAGAGAGAGAGAGCAGAGAGAACAGAGAGAGGAAGACGGCTCCTCCGCCAGCCCCACCTTCGCCCAGGTGAGTGTTGAAACTGCAATGATTGAATGAGAGCAGAGATGGGGTCATTACTCAAAAGTAATATATTACATTACTTCGTTACTCTCTACATAAAGAACGCGTTACTTCACTCGTTACTTTGCCCCTCCCTACAGGCAGATCACGCAGACTGCGGAGGGTGCTTCATTTTGCGGAGGGAGCCTCATCTGAAGCGCCTACAGCGTCGTTACTTTACTCGACATCCTCACTCTGGGTTCGGGGGTCCTCCTTAGCTATTAGCTTCACGTTAGCATGTTGTCTTTGCAGGTGCTTGTTGGACGTTGTGTTTGCAGCAGTGGAAAAAAGCTTCTGGCCTGGATACAGTTTGCACCTCACCGTCACATTCCTGTCCTTTCTTCGGACGAACTCAACATAATGGGCAGACCTCCACCCCCAAGTTATCGCTGTTGACTCAGCCATGTTTATGCACTGCACGCGCAAGTCGCACAAATGTTACGTAAATATAAAACCTGCGACGGAAATCCCTCTTGTCTGTCAGAGAGAGAATCTAGTCATTCTGTATGTTAGGCTAACTATAGTGTGATTACTGAATTGTAACGCGTTACATTACTCCGTTACCGACAAAAGTAATATTATTACAGTTTACTTTGTAACGCGTTACACCCCACTCTGATTGAGAGTTACAATTAGAATCCATGTTGAAACAGATGGAGGTTTCAGAGTGACGACTAGCTCAGTCACTAAAGACACAAGTCACAATCCAGGTCTACAAAGAAAATAAAAGACCAATTCTTTATTGTGTCATAAGGAGGTGAGTGTTGACACAGAGGGAGCTTTCAGAGTGACTCGAGCACAGTTCTGAACTACTTTGGGTATTGTGTGAGTGGAGCAATAATTGACGTGGAGTTAGAATTACAATCTGTGTCTCCAAAGAAAATGCAAGGCCAACTCTTTATTGTGTCATTAGGGTGTTGCCAGCGATGCATCATGCTCTACAATTAAGTTCAGCTTTTGTTTCGCCCTTTATCGAGCCACGGGTATCGATACATTCTAACAAGACAAGTAAATGCTAAACGGGATTAGTTAGGAAAAAGGGAAGGTCTTGAGAAAGCGATTAAAAGACAAAATGAGTTTCAGTAAGGTGCAATGCGAATAAAGAAATGAAAGATGTGTAGACTAGACATGATGTAAAATGTTCGCCAATAAATGAATTGTAGGAATCTTTAATAACTTGAAAAATAATGGAAACAAGTCATTTATTTATTCCAATTGTAATTCTTGGTATCACATACAAGAGTCAAGAATACCCACCCACATGCACGTCTGGCCCACCCACAGCCAATCAGCGCGTCATAGCGCAGAGCCGGGAAGCCCAGAAGGAAGTGCCACAAACTGCAGTTCCTCTAGTGGCCAGCAGGGGATGGATGCAGAAAGGAGCCATTCCCATAGACCCCCATGTTAAAATGCCCAACTTTACAGCAGGAATAAACATGTTTCTAGCCTGGATCCAATAAAACTTATTCTGGATATAGTTAGATTCCACCTTCATGACAATGGAATAGGGAGTGCATTTTTTTACCGTGAGTAAATTAGTAAGTAAAGTAAGTTTTGCCGTGAGTGAATGCAAGTCTTATTTCTTCTTGAGGTCTGCAGTGAAGCGTGTACACATGTGCTGAATATGAAAACACTCTCAATGTGTGCCCACTGTGCAACTTAAGGATAAACAACCTGTGGCCGCCGAGCCAGTCATGTGGATGTCAGTTTAACACATTCTGAGGCCGCCGTGCCTATAGTGCGTTAAAAAATTATTAAAATCATTAATGAAGTTTCAGCTCAGACTCCACGCTTAATAAGTCTCCCCCTGGCCCACCTACATTTCTCCAGGCCCACCCACACAATAATTCCTGGCTACGCCACTGGTACAGGGTTTGTTCAAAGTGTGGGAAATGTATTCATTATGTTTTCAAAGATTAGGAATACGCTTGAATTTGAATATACTCCTTAATTTGCATCCTAAGCTGTCGTTTCACCTACATTACATAATCACTCCAAAAAAGTGTAATATTTGAAATGGAACCATCTTATTTGTGTGTCACCTCGCACTAATATGAACAAACCTACAGTATACATCAGTCTCTCTGAATAATAGCGCAGTTTTCCACATTTCTTTGACATTTTGCTCAAGTGACCTTTTACTAAAAAGCTGTATGAATCCTGTTTTCCTAGTCCTTTCCTATCTCAGTTATATACTGAACGGTGTCTCTCTGTCTCTCCCTTCCCTCCTCCCTTTTCCCCTCCTCTCTCCCCACCCCCCCCCCCCCCCCCCCCCTCAGTACAACACAAACAACAACCTCCTGAAGACCGGATTCGACTTCCTTGACAACTGGTAAACCGCAGCTGAGTTTTTCAGCCCCCGCCATGAATGAGTCATCGCCATCATCACTCTGAAGAAGGACCACCACACTGCCATGACTACAGACATCCACATTTAACAAACACCAGTCTTTAGCATGACCACATTATGTTGTTGTGATTATCTCCAGTGGCTTGTTAAGACCTTATCTCACTGCCTGTGTGCTGGTCTCTCCCCCCCCCCCCCTCTGGTTAGCTTTCAATCTCTTAGATTTTGTTGCCACTAAAAGCAGAGTAAGAAACGGTTGTTTTCCTCTAACTGTGCATTCACACTGAGACCACTTTGGGATATATAATAGATAATATGATGCATTTTCAATTCATTTACCCTCAAGTATTTCAATTACAAGTTTTAAAGGAGATTGAAAGGAAAGTAGTGTGATAATCCAATCATTTTATTGTTATAAAAACTTTATTTAAAGAGCTCATTTGATGCAAAGATGCAGCTAAAACACATCAAATACATTGAAATGAAAATATATAATAACCTAAGACGAAACAATGAGTTTCATCACAACATAACAAAGCAATAACAATAGGCGCTTTTACACCGGAGTACTTTTCCCAGTATAGTTCAGATATAATTCCGAAAATGTGCGTTCACACCAAAAAGATCCGGAACTAGAATTTAGTTCATGAGAACCTTTTCCGTCCCTGCTAGAGAGCCGGTACTTTCGTGGGAGAAAAAGGTTCCTGTGTCTGATTGGCTGGGCGGATTGCAAACCACGCCCCGTAAAACTCCCAAAACGTTTTGTGAAGCCGCCATTTTATTATCCTCGCATTATTAGCATTAGCCCAGCGCACAAACGCAGAGAGACTAACTTATGGCAACACAAAAGAAAACATGGGAGCGAGATGAGGAGGTCTCGGCGATTTACTCGTCCACAACTCCGGGGACTTCCGGCCGTGTGGCAGTATTATTATCACATGTCACTTGTTAGACGCTTTTATCCAAAGCGACTTACATACTCAATACTGTGGACAATCCCCACAGGAGCAATTTGGGGTGAGGTGTCTCAGGGACACAACGACATGCTGACTGCAGTGGGGTTTGAACCTGTGACCCCCTGATTCCAACACCAAGGCTCTATCCACTGCGCCACACGCCTCCCTTAGTATACGCCGTGAAGTGGTTAGCAGCCTGCCAGTAAACCCAAAGCAGAAGAAGAAGAAGAAGTGACGTCAGCGGCTTCATTTGCCTAATCCTCCCTCAGGGACTTACCCCGGTGTGAACGCGATCGGCTCTTCTCTGAACTAAGTACTTGGTGTGAAAGCGCCGACTGACACCACAAATCAATATGCCAATTTTGACGGTGTTCCACAGTTTATCGCCATAAAAACCTAAATCAGCAGTTCACTTCGGTTGTCGGCAAAAATGTGTTAGCCAATACCAATAAAGATCCAGTTATGGATTGGTACATTAAGTTTGGGATGTATCTGGTAACCTGTTGTGCGGATGCTCAAACAGTGACTTGGCTGCTTCACATACATTTAAGACGCTACACTAGCAAGATGTGTTTGTGTACCGTTAGATGGTCAGATATTCATGTGAGAAAAACACGAGAACCCTCATCCTTTTTTGTTACGAAGATTATTTATACGGACTGCATTATCCCCCATGTAGTGCTCAGTCCTGGCCAACATGTTGCAATTATTACCGATGTTCCCTAAGCTTCCTGGAGTATGGGATGTTCCAGAGCGATGGGAAACATCATGGATACCATTGCATCGCTCAGAAACAACACAGAATGTATTTACAAACTTTAACACACCTATTGAGTTAGGAGCTGGTTTTCAGCAACAGGAGAAAGGTGTTAAAATGGGAGCAACAGATGTTCTGTATGGATTTAGAGTCTCACCCACACTTCCTCACCCCCTCGCTACCGTCACCTTTGACCTCAAACTAGTGCTGAGCAAAGCTAGTGTGCATTTGTAATAAAAGGAGACGCACTCAGACGTCGTGTTTTAGATGAGCAGGCATGTAGTGTTTTGTACCACTTGTGTCGTAGATCTAAAATCCAGTTTACATGACTAGAGTACTATTTTACTGAATTTTATATTTATCAGCTGATTGTATCTTATGCTCTACATGTATACTGCACACATGCATTTGGAGATTCGAAGGAACATAAAAAAGTCAAACCTGTTTTTTGTGTCTTTCTGTTTTCTGCAAATATATTTTAAGAGGAGAAACTAAGGTTTAAAAACATATGTATCATCAACTTGAATCATCCCCAGTTTTGACTTGATGTATTTGATAATATGTTTAAGTTATGATGATTATGTAGATTATTGGCTTTTCATTTTGTCATGTTCATGATGTTAAACAAAAGCAGGGCAAACAGTATGTTATGCTACTTTTGCATGATGTTAATTCCTTTATCAATCAATGAAATACAATAAAGAATATATTTAAGGAATCATATTTTGGTTAAATTACCCAAATGAGGCCTTATCTCATCTAGGTAAATGAAGGAGGAATCTACTAATGCAAATAGAAAACGTTGATTAAAAAACGACTGTATTTTGGATGTTTTCTTTACACAAATAAGACGTTAAACATCTTTTGACTTTTGACCCATAATGAACCAGTGCATTATAACAATGTTCTTGCACGTAGTGTCAAGGTCACAAACCCTTTTCCTTTGTGAAGCTAAGTGATGTTTCCAGGTTGGTTTTCCCTCACTCAGACTTATCATATTTTCCAACGTTAATGACGGACACGTGCCGTTTCTGCTGAAGTCCTGCACAGAGGGAGAAAGGAGCTCACTGCTGTGTGCGCGCGTGTGAGTGTTGTGGATACATGGTTTGCAGATTGTTTGCATTCTTGTTGCGCTCCCTCTCAATTCCATGACATCAATTCCTCCAGCTGTAATTCCTGCCATGACCAAAATGCCATTGAGGGAAGAAGGGGGGTGGGGGTTAAAGGAGGATGTCCAGTGCTCAGAGGACATTTTGAACACGTTGGTCCAGTTTAAAATATCCAGAGCTCATTCCAGCGGCGCCCTCGGCACTAAGCGGCCGCTCCTCTGTGGATATGCAGGGGAGGAAGAGGGTTTCTGTGTTTCGTCCATAATGAATGTGCTGCTGAAGGCTGCCTGAGTTACACCGACATGAAGTGGGTGATTGAATAACTGACGAGGTTCAATTCACCTTTGCTTTGATCATGATCCATGAGGGTAATCGCCCTGTCCTCACCAAACTAAATATTATACTTTACTCTTCCCTGATATTTTCCACAAACTATGCCATGACTGATATCATTTGCTGCACTATGACTTTTTTTAATAAAACGTTACAACTACTATACTATGATTTTTCCTGACATGCTATGATATGATTTTTCTCTTACGCAATTCCGACATATGACATTTTTTTCATGATATTTGTTCACATACTATACAATGATTACTATGACTTTCGTTCTGACATGTATGTACTCTTTTTGACATGCTATAATATACAAACTATACTATGAACTTTTCAACGTTCTATACTTTAAAAATGTTCAGAAATGTTTCAAAAGTATGACCCTTTGAACTTTTATATTATAACTTTTTTTCTGAAATGTTAAACATACAATTCTATGACACTTTTGACAGTATTATAATAAATGTTTTGTTATGACTTTATTACATTACTATAGCCTACTACGATTTTTTTTTAAAATGTTTACAATGACACTCTATGCTTCCCCCTCAAAACTAAATGTCCATACACAGATCAAATGTAAGTATCTCATGTATCAGTGTTGGTTTTAAAGCTCTTAATGTTTGTGTCCATCCTCCTGCAGCACTGAGAGACCTTTGTCCCCCCCCCCCCCGCCCCATCTCCCCCCCCCCCTCCCAACTCCTCCACTCTCTGAATGGCTGCTTTGTGTCGCCTCTCACCTTTTTTGCAACAACTGTTTGAGTGAATTAAAATCATCGCACGCTATTAAACTCACAGCGGAAACCGAAACCAGACTGAAGTTGTGTTACCTTCGTCTAAAGAGGCAGCTTCCTCATCAGACATGGCCCTTCATTAAACTGGAAATAAATCCACACGACTGATCTGACAGATCCATTTGACATTTTCCCATTTTGTTTAAGCACTGTGCATCGAGGTCTGCAGATTGTTGGACATTGTTTCAAATGATTTGATACTGATGAAACACCCTGTGGTAAATGAGCAGATAGGGACACAATCTGCAGTCCTGTTATATGTAGGATTATTCAAACATAAACCCAACGCTAATTGTGTTGACATTTTTCTGTAAGCATTACGGAGACACAGTTTGAGGTGATGCTTTTAAATATAACCCTCATACATAATCACATAGTTTTGATTTAGGGATGCAACTTACAATTACATTTATGATCAACTTTTTTCTTGATTTCTTTGGTTCATTAAATGCAAGGAATTCCTGTTGCAAGTCCATAAGATACCCTCTTCAAGTTGTATTTAATGTTAAAATACCAAATGTAACATCATGTATGACAATGTGACGGGGTTGGAAATCGTGTATGACATTAAAAGGTAGGAAGTTATCACATTTTAGACCGTTTCTAATTCATTTTCTGTTGATTGTCTTGTTCACATGGGAATCAGCAAAAACAAAGAGTGCTAAAACAAGGAAAAACACGCTATCCAAAGTCAACTTTAATGTCAATCTTTCAGTTTGTGTGTACAGACAGAGAGATCGAAAAGCCGTTTCCTACAATCCTGAATACAAAAATACAAATATATATAAAGATATGTATATACCTATATATATACAATCACATTTGTACATATGCACACATTAAGACATACATAAAAGCACAACAATCAATATATACAAAATAACAGTCACTTCAATATCTTTGAGAATTTATATTAGTGCAAGATTGTCCATAGAAGCGTAAAAGGCGTGTGGTGCTGGATTTGAGTGTCTGAGTGTGTGGGGTGTTAAAATCCAGACCTTTATTTGGATCTAAACTAAGTCTGCATAAGGTCTTGACTCCAGGTTACAGAGTGCACACTGGAAGGTCTGTCTGCGTGCCGTCGTCCTGCAGACTCTCACATCTGTCCCTCTGCTGAACGCTCACAGCGAGTCTGCTCCTCCTGCATACACACACACAACACACACCACACACAGCACACACACACACACACACACACAACACGCACACACACACACACACACACACACTAATTTTCTCTTAAAAGATACAGTAGGGCTACACATTTCTCCATTAGGAAAGCTTGGCAAGCAGGCTTGATATCTAGCCAAATTAATAAAAGGGCTGTGTGGGTGTGTGTGTGTGTGTGTGTGTGTGTGTGTGCGTGTGTGTGTGTGTGTGCGGTGTGTGTGTGTGTGTGTGTGTGTGTGTGTGTGTGTGTGTGTGTGTGTGTGTGTGTGTGTGTGTGTGTGTGTGTGTGTGTGTGTGTGTGTGTGTGTGTGTGTGTGTGTGTGTGTGTGTGTGTTGTGCATGCGGTGATGGGATTTGGTTTTCATGTAGGCTTATGTCTTTAAAGCAGGGGTGGGGAACCTGCGGCCCCCGGGCCGTATACGGCCCGCGAGACAATTTGGTACGGGCCCTCGAGGTAATTATAAACACAACGACGCAAAAAAGAGAAAAAATTAAAGAAATCTAGACCGCAAAAAAAATTAAACTAGCGAGTGCCTGTTTTTCCTGGCCAAGATCGGGATCCTTGAACACAACACAAGCCCTACGTGTCATCACGTGGTATATGTCGCGACTGACATGGGTGCAGTTACTGACGGAGAGCACCCAGAGTACGTCGCTCCTGCACTTCCAAAAATTGCAGTACGATAGGAGCCGTACACATGCCGCAGTTTATGCGTGGCTGTGTCTTTATTGAAGCCCAGTGGCGATCTGTTCATCTGTCATTCTGATCATACAGTCATAGCTTTGTTGTTAGTAGCATCTGGTTAGCTAGCTATGCTAACGAATATAAGAAGCTTTTCTACAACCAGTGAGGTAAAGGCACATCTTTATATGATCATTATAGTTATAAAAATAAGAGAATAAAGTAAACAGGTATAAAATACTATATGACGGTAACAAAAAGTTGTTATTAATAAACAAGAATACAGTTTGAAAGGGGAGTGATTTGTAAAATATCCATAAAGAAAAATAAATCTGCTTACAGTTCTGTTTCATATGGTGTTGAGAGATGTATCCATAGATCTCTTCATGTTGCTCTCAAAGTGCAAAAATCTTCATGTCCACATGAATAGGAAACTAAATACATTTGCACACATCTTGTGTCCATATCTTTCTGTTTTGGTGGTCATGCCACAACCGTGCACGTGAATGCGCGAGTCATGGTAAAATATCTGGATTAAAAGGTTGCTTTTTCTTTGCACAGCATGAAAGAAAGGTGAAATGAATGGGCTGTGATTTTAGTATTTTTAAGCAGAGGTCAATCATTTGTACGGCCCTCGGAGGATGTTGAAAACATTGAAATGGCCCTTGAGAGGAAAAGGTTCCCCCCCACCCCTGCTTTAAAGGGCATAGGCCCATTGGGCTCAGTGTGTGTGTGTCCTAGTATTACTATCCTTGTGGGGACCTAAATATGTTTACACAGTCACGTGTGGGGACTCGCCTCCCTTATGGGGACATAATTTTAGGGTGAAGACTTGGTTAGGGTTAGGCATGTGTTGGTTATGGTTAAGGTTGTCTCCAGGAAATGCATGTAAGTCAATGTAATGTCCCCTGAAGTGATGTATACATGGTGTGTGTGTGTGTGTGTGTGTGTGTGTGTGTGTGTGTGTGTGTGTGTGTGTGTGTGTGTGTGTGTGTGTGTGTGTGTGTGTGTGTGTGTGTGAGACCACAGCATGCTCATGTGTACAGACATGCAGTGTTTTCAGTTTTCAGCAAACATGTTAGGCAGAAAGAAACATGAGGAGGTTAAAGCAACATTAAAGTTATTCTAAACCTTTTAAATAGTCTGTCAGGAGGTCGACAGTTTTTTTGTCGAGATGAATTTAACACAGACAAGAAGTCGTAAAATAGATATAGAGAACAGAGGGAACCGTAACAGTCACAGGGCGGGCATGTCAACAGATCCATCTCCATGACAATTGAGTAAACTGATGAATCAACAGCTGCATTTTGCAGTCGGAAAGCTTTGTAAATAAACATGTTTGTGATGAAG